TAAAGAAAAAAAATCTCAATTACTAACCCTAAAATGCACCACTTAAGCACTTATAGCCAAATTGAACAAATCTTATAAATCACACTATAACCGTTAAAATTTATCTAACGTCAAACAAAAACATGATCTATCAACAATAATAATATTCAATCTGCATTATTAAGAATTTAATGATTTATTTACGTATGGATAATTGGATATGATATATTATTATATTATGATCTAATTTCAAAAATCTCGCAATCAGGGATTCAGGTACCATATTTTGCAACAAAGATCTAACGTGGAAAACGTGAGTTCTGAAGCTGAAAGTAAAGCAATTGTCATAAGACACTTGGCCAGAGAAAAGCCCGACGAACTTGGTAATAAATTTCTTTAAACTCGGTAATAAATAGGATAATGAATTAATGATTTTGCACATTGAATTTCTGACCGACCCTAAATAAGGTGAAATTAAAAAAAAAAAAAGGTGATATAACAATTCCAAATAAATGAATAAGATTTTTACTGGTAGCCGTGTGACTGCTAAAGGATTTTGCTATTCACATTATTTACTCACAAGACCGTGACTACTTTTATGTTAAAAACGGGCTTTCTTTTCGGCCCCAGATGATTTTGTGTAATTTAGAGTCTCATATTCTAAAAATTAATTGTAATATAATGATAAAAATATGGTAAAAAGAAATTTTGAAACTCTCATCTCAAATTCAAAATCATTTTGCTACTAAAATAAGAGCTTATTATTTTTTTTATCTCATAACTTTTTATTGATACTCTAACAATCATCTGAAATTAAATTATAATTGTGGTTAAAAAATCATATGTAAAAAAAAAAATTTTAAGTTCGCCTCAAACCACTAGAAGTATTTGTATATCACTAATTCTGACATTGCTGATCATAAATTTACGTGATTCAATGTCTTTGTATATCATTAATTCCGAATCCGAACTATTAAAAAGCAAGATAATTACGTGGTTTTTTTTTGTTTGAAAAATAATTACGTGGTTTTCCAAGTTGTTTTTACACACAATTTTTTTCTGTTAACACATACATTTTTGAATATATTTTTTTACAAAAACAATATTATGTTAAAATTTTGTAAAACGTAGTGAAAAAAAAAAAACTAGAAACAGTTTTACGTTTTACTCACCAAAGCTACCATATACAATGGATAAGTCGTGCGCAATATCCAATGGCGTGACATATCCATGAGTCAATGAATGGTGTGGTTTTCCCATATGAGACCAAAGGAATCAGCGACTATAGTCTTTTGGTAAGTGAAGACAAAGTAATCATTTAACAATGGTTTTAATTCTATCTTGAATCTCAGTCACTCTTTACAATTTCTCTTAAATCATTTTTTTTTTGTGTCAGTATTCAGAGAGTAAACCTTTGAAGAAGCTCACAGTTTCAACTTTTACTCGGCCATACATCTCTTTTTTTTTGTCTCCCAGAAAAAGTTAGTCTTTCTTCTTCCTCCTTCCCTTTTACTCTTATAGATTACTCAACACTTGCGATTCCGAGACAAGGTTCAGATTCAGCAGACAATATCAAATCCTCGGTTCCAGATAAAATGGATCTTGAATCGGGCACGGTCCAAGAGTTGAACAAACTGGTTCCTGGGATGTGGCAGTATCCTACAGATACCCAACTTTGTTGTATCTACAGAGTCCCAAACTGTTTGCGTAGCTTAAACCCTGACGCATACACTCCTCAGTTAGTTATCATTGGACCTCTTCACCATTTTTTAAAAGATCAAGCTCTCAAGTCTCATGGAGATATCACAGACGCAAAGTCCATGGGCTACTTAAACATGGAGGCTCATAAGAAGATTTACCTTAAGGAGTTCGCAGAAAGGTTTAAAGGGGAAAATATTATTGATGAATTCAGAAGAAAGATCAATAAAGATGAAGAGAGAATTAGAGCAAGCTATTCAGAATCAACCGCATGGATTCAAACTTCCGCGTTCGTTGAGATGGTCCTACTCGACTCTGTTTTCATATTTCAGCTCATTTGGAAGTTTATGGAAAGAAAACAGGGTAAAACAGGGGATCGTCTCATGGATGAACCTTGTCTTGAAATTACAGTCAAGAGAGACCTCATGTTGCTTGAGAATCAGCTTCCTTACTTCATCCTCGAGAAACTCTTCGAACCAAGATTCCTCCCGAAAAAGAAGCCTCAGGAGTTTCATGATTTTCGCAAATCGATCATCACTTACTTCTTCGCATTCAAAAACAAAATCAGAAATGACCCCAAATTTATTCATTTCACTGATCTGTTAAGACGTGTCCGTGTGGGGACACTTCCGGATGATCTTACTGGGAAATTCAATAGCATAGAAAACATGTATAACGCCGATAAGTTGCATAGCGGCGGAGTGAAATTCAAGGCCGTAAATAAAGAGGCCGTAGAGGAAGAGGTATCGTTCAAGGCGGAATTCAAGAAAGGTTGTTTGAAGCTGCCTTGTCTTAGGGTTGATGACGAATTTGAGATTACAATCAGAAACATTATGGCTCTTGAGCAATGCCATTACCCTTCCAGTGCCCACGTTTGCAACTACTTTATCTTCCTGGATTACCTCATCGAAACTGATAAAGACGTCAACTTGCTTGTCGAAAAAGGTAACCTTTTTTTATCATTTATATGGGTCTATATAAATGTGTGTGTGTACGTCTTGATTGATACGTGGTCGTTTTGGGTTTTGTAAGGGATAATACAGAATTGTATTGGGGAAAACCGTTTGGTGGCAGAGATGGTGAACAAGCTCTGTCTAGGCATCCTCGACCGTGGTTCTTACTGTTCTGATATCGCGAATAAAGTCAATGATCGGTATAACAACCTAATCTGTAGGTCGTACGCAGTTCTCAAGAACGTGTATTTCGGCAACCTGTGGACAGGGACGGCCACCGTGGCCGCCACATTACTATTGCTCATGACTCTTATTCAGACCATGGCTTCCACCTTTCAAGTTATGCAGGACGCTCCTTATTGAAAGCCATTGCATTTGTTTTCTGTTATGTCAATCTATCTTTTTATGATTCTGTATCCCAAAATAAAGTTTACATATTTTTAGTCTGGACTTTGCAATTATATTGCGAGTTTGTGTTGATGTATCCATAAGACTCGTTATATTATAAGCTCATGAAGTATCTTCAATAAGATTTTTACTCTCTGTATAAAATCCTTACAGTAAACAATCGTCATCTCCATATATGAAGATTTCGAACGAAACAAGCTTGTGTAAAAAACCTAAAGATTGGACACACAATCTTAAGAAATTTTCATACATAAAATCGGTAACACTAGCAAGCATCTAAGAAAAAAATTGTTCGCACGATTCACCAATTAGGTCTCTCAATGATCACGACGGAGTTTTGAACTGAATCTGTTCATGATAAATCATCAGTCTCTGCAAAAACCAGAAAAAAAATTAAAAAAACCTCACTTTACAAAAGAGACAACCTTGGTCGGATTTGTAATTAAAAACCCAGAAAAAAAAATGGTTTTTACCATTACCGGTGATGATTTGCTTTTCCGGTAATTGAGAAGGATTCCCTATAATCGTTCTTATGTTAGCTCCTAAATCAATCGCATCTTGCACCTGTGTCCGTTTTTTTGTTCATCATCATCAAATTGGATTCAAATCTCTCTGATACATTTCACACACAAAAAGAGAGACAGAGAAATGAATTGACTGATTTTTACGAAGAACTAACCGTGTGGATCCCCGTGGCGCTAAGAAACGCGACGGAGGTGGTGGCTATAGCTCCGACGAAGAGTGATGCGACTCCGAAGGCTTTAAGCGGCATTAGCCGCATGTCGCCGGCGTAACCTCTCCGTATAGATCTCACTCCCCATCCGATTTGGACTCCGCTTCCGATTGCCCACCACCAATGAGCTGATCCATCGAACAAACTGCTCTCTCCGGTGCCGGCGTCGTTCTGTTCCTCCATTTTCGCCGGAGATTGATGAAATGGATAAAATCCCGATTGCGAGATTTCCTTTTCGTGCTCTATGATTACGATCCTTGCAGGTTTAATGGGCTCGGGGTTTGGGTTTTAAGGCCCATATTTGTCAGCCAGGTCTTTCGTAGTTGAATTGAATGTTAAATTTTATTCAAAACAATCCGTTTGTACATAAAATGTGAACTATGTTCTGATGTTTTAAGTTAAAAAAACACAAGAAGATGAAACAGAAACAAAGCTTAATGTATAACCATCAACGAGGGGAGAGTCATATCTCCATGGCCGCAGAGTATGCATGTTCTCCAGCTGCATATTGTTTTATCGATTTGCTTGATCAGCTCGGTGATTGACAGAGCCGCTTCACCATGCCGTCGACGGTTCCTCTCTTTCCACACATGATAGACAGAGGTTTGGAAGGCGTAGCGTATATGGAACAACATGAATTTTTGCTAAGACGAGGTGAGGATGGGGACTAGCTCCTCCAATTTTTTTGTAAAGGCACAGCCAAGGAGCTTACGAACAGTGGCACTCCCGATACACTGCATTCGAAAAACAAGTGATTACATGTGTCCTCTTTCGTACCACACAAACTACATGTTGAGCTC